TTGTAACCAGATTTACTAAAAAAATGCTCCGACTAACCTTGAATAGGTTGAACGGTGCTGACTTCTGACTAGGATTGGTCTGCCGCTAGCTGGGAGAATTCATGCTTCGTGACAGATCACTGTCTTTTTCAGAACAGTTTAATCAATTTTGAATCTAAAATTATGGGGTAGGTGCAACATAGATCCACTGATTGGAAGCTCTTCCAGCTGGAGGCAATGGCCGTTGCTCAAGTCTGTCATTATTCACCATCTCTAGAACACAGAGTCTCATCAATTAGCAGAAAGCACGTGATCAAACCCAACTCTGAGAATAAAACCAGTTTTGTAGGTTGTTTCTTGTGAGATTAATGTATACTACATCTTAAGATTATGATGAGTCTAACGTATTTTATGAAACAATGTTATTTTTCTTAAGAAATTTATTAAAGATTACTTGGATCTTTGTAAAAAGCCTCGTCTAGCTTACAAAAGCTTCCAGCACTTCCACAGCTTTTTTCCGTAAGACAAAATTAGGCAAAACACAAGTTGATCCTCAAATGGCAGTGCCAGCTGCGTCAAACCCACGTGCAAACTCAAGTGCTTCGGAGGTGCCGTTTGCCTCCCGTGCAGCCGCCGCGGCTCCTGCGGTCGCTCCCGTTGCTGCCGGGACTCCCTTGGTGAGTAGCTTGTTCCCCCGTTTGCACCTCTGCGCCTCCTCCCTCAGTTCCTTTCGGGCTGCTGGACTCGGTGCTCGGCCGCGTCCGCGTGTTGCTGCTCTCAGCTTTGGGGCTGTCTTTCCCCCGTGCAGAGCCTGCGTTTTGGGGAGGCCTCGCTCTGCCGCTGCCCGTCCTGCCGCGCTGCTGCCCGGCTGGTTCAGCGGCGCTTTGCGCTCCCCTTTGGGACCCATTTAAAGCAGGTTTTATTTTATGTGCTTCTCTTGGTGGTGTTTGCAGTTGGCTGATCACTGCTTTTCCCTTCAGGACATGAGAAGTTTAATTAACCCCCCCGTGGAGATGGGGAATCCCGTCTGCGCTGGGGCTCCGCGGGTGTTTGCTTTGGCTCCGGCTCGACGCCCGTTCCCT